TATATATATATGTATATATATATACCCTGGTCAAATGTGGTTATGGTCGTCAGAGCATTCCAAGGATGATTTGTCTGCTCCGTATTCTCAGTTATTCCACAATCGGAGAATTCCAGTTCCCTTCTTTCGTGCTCCATAACGTTGACGAGAGCGGACTGATGTGGACGACACTGACTGTCAGCTCCGAGATTCCACCGGTTCCACCTGCCGAACTGTAAACGCTGTGAATCGATGATTGGCGGTTAACGTGCTCTGTACATGTTCCGCGTATTTGCCTACCTTCCCCGAAATCCCGTCTCGGCCACCACGTCTAGACAATGTTCAACCAGACGAGCGGACGCTAAGATCCGCGAACACTGAAGCGATACGATGCGCGAATCCGTGAATTTCGACATTGTGTCAAGATAAGTACGGGAAGAAAGATTTGAACGTTCGAACGTTCTGGAAGTATTCGTTAATCTTTTTGTCACGCGCACTAGGCTAGTAGGCACACAGCTGATTTGATAAGTCAGAACAAGTCAGACGCAGTCATTAGTTCGATCTTGCTAAATTCTTGATCCTTAATCCTGTTTAATTTTGAAATTTAAGAGACTTACACAAGACTTTTGGACTGCATGTACACGTTATCATCAATTTTGTTTAGTAACATCCGTAATTATTAACTATATATTGACGTCTATAATCTAATGATAATTAATCTCAGTTTTATAACATCAGTTAACAATTACGGATGCTACTAAACTCGATTGTGAATTGTGATGTAAATAATATAATGAATAAATGCTATCAAACAGAATTCGCAGAATTATATAAAATATTTGTATAAAGAAAGACAAAATATTACATTAAATTAATTAAAGTTAAAATGAATTGTATTAAAATTAATTAAATTAAATTAAATTTTTTTTAGCTTATTTTTAAAACTGTATTCTAAAATATCTTCTCCAAAAAAAGATTTTACTTAATGTAATATAATATACGCAAATATACATTGTATATTTCAAGTAAAGTTTTCCTCGGAAAAAAATATATATTTTGAAATGTAGTGTTTGTAAATATGAAATTTTACCTACAGTTAATATCATCGATAATATCATTATTGACAGTTGATAAATTAACTGTCGTGCAGAGAAAGACGTATATAGGTGGCGTGATATGTTTGTTTCCTGACGAAAATAGGCGGCACGACATCTCGATCTCGGTTCTTCACGTTCGCGGACGTCGCTGCGGTAGAAAAATTTTGACTTCACGCGATTGCATTTCAACATGGCGGACCGCAACAAAGGACGCAGAAACAGGGAAGAAATTTCACAAGGTATCTCGGCGAAAATATTATTATTTCGCGTATGGAGCGATCGAACGACATCGCGCCATCGCTGGCATTCTCGCGTGCATACAACTTCAGGCCAATCTGACGATTCATGATCTTTCCGCGTGTCTTGATCGGGCCTGACGTGCGAAATTAACCTCACTATACGTAACTAACCTACAAGCAGAGCTGAGCATACACTGCGATGTCGCGTTATTTTATGGTGTTTAAGCGACGCGACGATTGATTCCAATAATCGCAATGAGCTTCGCTCGATGAATTAAATTCCGTGCTGTTGATTTACGTTTTGTTTCCAATTAGGATTGTTCTCATCCGTAGAGAGACGTTCCTTAATATAAATTCCGGCGTCGTCGAGTGTCAACATATATAAACCGTACACTTCCGTATACTTCCGTAAAAGTTAGTATTTCGCTCCGTGAGATCATTGTTGAGACTTCGTTGCACCCGAAGAGGAATAGACCTTAAATGTAAAACTTTTGAGCTACGAGTGAGACACATTAAGTGTACAAGTTTGTTGGATTTTTCTTTGTCTACCTTTATGTATAAACATTCTGTATAGTATGCATTAGGTCTTTTCTTTTTAGCTCAGCTGTATTGAGCTTCTTATATAGTTTATCTTTTCTCTTTTTTTCTGAAACGTGGAAAGAAACAGAGGAACGATGTATAAGAAGTCAGTTAAAAAGAAGTTTAACATTGCCTAATCTTTTTAGCTGAACTTCCTGTATATTAATATGATTTGAATAATCTTCAAATGTGTTATAGAATGTGTTATAAAAAGAATGATGCTATAGGATCAGTTATTTTATGTATAATGATGTATCGAAGTTTCACAACTTATAGTTAATTTTTAATCAAGATTCAACTTATTCATTATCTTTTTCCAATTCTAGAATTAGAAAGAGATGAGAAACAAGTTGAACCTTAATTAAGAGTTAACCATGAGTTGTGAAACTGGATCTAAATAAGAAATTATATGCATGAATGTTGGCTTAATATTTTTATCAGTTCAAATCAGTCTTTATAATATATTAAACTATATAAATATTGAGTACAAAAGAGAAATTATTATGATACATATGTTATTGTATGTATAAATATAATTTATATGTATATATTCTTGTATTAAAATTATTATATAATTATGAAATAGTTTAGTAATTCATATATGATTGATAAAATGATAACATATATATAAAATATTTGAATAAAACATTTATGTGAATGTAATGAAGAAATTGATTGACAAACATGAATTTTTTAATGAACATTATCATGATAACAATTTTCAGAATTAAAGACTCCTAAATTAGAGAAAGAAAGATTGGTAGAGATGCGTGGCGGAGGAAATAGAGCACCTCAGGCCTTATACAGACCAGGGAGTGGCCCTTTACGTAAGTCGGACAGATCTAACAGCATTGCCGACGAATATGATAATGAAAATGGCTCACAAGAAAAATCTAGATTGACCTCCGTCCAGTATCATCCGAGACAGTCTCAACCTAATAGAGCAAATCAGGCACAAAATAGTCCACCTCTATCACAAATCGATAATGTAGCTAAAAAATTGGACAATACCCATATTAACTATAGAAATAGCAGCAATAGCGAATCAGTACAAAATCCTAGTAACAACTCTGACGGAGGAGCAGGTAGAAACGATCCAAAAAAGAAAAATAGGAAACCTGAACAGTTGTTATATGTACCAAAAAAAGTGAAAGAAGCATTGGCTGAACAGGATGGAATTAACAGGTAAACTAATTATGACTTTTTCCTTATTGAAGAATTTCCTTATTTAAGAAGCTCATAGAGGAAAAGTTATACGACAATTATATTATTTTATAAACTATTGATAATTCTATTAGATCTCCCAGCCATACTACATGGGATCGAGAGAGAGAAGAGAGTAATGATCGCGATTCACATTCAAATCGTAATCACAAAAGCGATCGCAATCGTGCGAGTAGTCACACTATGCGAGACAATGAAAGTGAAAGCAGAAGTAGAGATGACACTAATAAACGATATTCGGGCAATCGTCGACATCGTCATGCAAATGAGAATGAAGAACGTTATTGGCGAACCGAATCGCCGGCATCCGCTAGAAACTGTGCTAATCGAAAGGATAATTCACGTGAAGTTAGACAGGTCTGTGTGATTTGAATAATAAGATTTTACAATAATAACCATAGATTATAATACAAAAATCTGAATATAACTTACTGGAAAATATTTCTTTTTGCGTATTATTAGGGCTCGGAACCTTTATCTTTGACCAACCAGAATGATTTTAATCGTACGCGAGACACTCGCAGTGTAGAGCCTGTTGGACATTCGGATAAGTTTCAAGGAAAGCCACCATCAGGTCGACGCAATCCAAAAGACACTTTATCGAAAAATATCAAGTTAGATCTCTTGCCACCACGATTACAAAAAAAATATCTCCTTGATAATGGATATGCATTACCTAGCAACATTCCAGGCACGTCCACAGAGGACTCCTGGAATGGTAGCAGCATTACATTTCAGGTAAAAATTTGTTTAATGCTGATTAATTTTTTTACGAATATTGGTTTCTAGTATAATGATTTATAATTAACATATGGATTATAATATCTATTCTAACAGGGTTTATCCAGTTATAATTATCCATTATCTATGCAGCATTCACAAACATTGCAAAATCTGCCACCATCTGGATTGTTGCAATCTCCGCAATCTAATTGGACTAACACCGTTCCAACGAGAAGCAGAGGTAGAGGTAGACTTAGACCCGAGGAATTTGATAGTACAACTGGTAGTATTTTTAGGCCTGTTACACCTGACCAATATTCGGCTCCAAGTTCCAGATCTCATACTCCTAGCCAAGAATACATAAATAATATACGGTACAATTATATATTATCATATTGAATTTTTCGTTTAAACAGTTATATGAACATTATTTGTTGAAACTTTCATCTGTTAAATATTACAAAATTCATGGATAACAGGTCTTATGATCGCCGTGGTAGCAATAGCACTATGTATACAAGTATAGAAAGCTTAAGTCGTGCCGATAGCATAATGATACCTCCACCTTTATCTGCATCGCCTGCAACTTCACAATCAAATTCGAACAGAGGTCACAGATCACCTGAGAATCATCGCAGAAGCGCAATATCACCAATAGACGATCGCACTAATAACATGTAACTAAATATTTATAAAATCATTTCTCCTTACTTATACTTTTGTATGCACTCGATGACATAGCTGTTATTAATTAAGGCAAAGAACAATCACCAGTAATGCCTATGAATACAATTTGAATATGGACAAGCAGAATAATCAACAAAACACGAATCTTAGTTCCACGAAAAACGAGTCATGTAATAAATCATCTTATACCACATCTGAGACATTTGTAAGTACATTGATTGATATGTAAAATAATGAGTTGAATAATAAATATATATAATTATATTAGGATTGGAGTGAAGAAGTTGAATTAAATGAAAAGTTAGAACAGGAACATTTGAGTCGTAGTTCATCCATATTAAGCATACGAGAAAGCACAAGTGTGCTGCGAAGTCAGGCTGTGGGCGAGAGTCATAGGCGACGTAAAAAAAAAAAACGTGATAAACATCGTGATGCTGATCGGTAAGCGCAATTTAATTGTTTTTATCTACATTTATCTTTTAAAAAATGTTGAAGAATTCTTTGTGTAACGAGATTATATTCTAAATTATTGTAGTGGCAGTAGCCGAGATAAAGGACGAGGTAATAGCCGCGAACGTCAAAAAAATCAACAGAATAGAGAGAATGATAACTATAATAATAATCAAAAGAATAGTAATAGTAGTAGTAGTAGTAGTAGGCGATATGACCACAGGAGACGTAATATCATTCAACGTAGCCGAGAATCGAGTAAAGACAGAAATTATAGTAACAGCTATAGAAATTTTGACGAGCTTCACAGGCGCAGGTATTTATTAAAAAAATTTAGATTATATAATTTTTAGGTATAAAACTTATTATATTGCAAATATCTTATTCCAGAACTGATAGATACTTAGATGAAGATTGGAGAACAGGTAGGAAGATATCGACTTGCGAGTCGGATGACGGAAGACAAACTCCTAAAGTTTCTTCCCACACCGCTCCACTTTCGAGTGTGAATTCAAACTCTACAGTACACCGATCATCTCCGACGGGATATAGTAATGCCCCGGGTGTCTTGATCTTGCCTAACGAGACTAGTCAGTCGTCTCCTAATCAGACAGCTACAACTTCTCAACAAGGAACTGGGCAACAACAGCAGAGAACGCTATTTGACCCTAATAATCCACATAAACCTATTGTTATTACTTCACCCGGAAGTAGAGCAGCTGTTCAAAGGTAACATTCTTTTTTTTTTGTTCTTGCGATGTATTATCATAGGAATTAATAAACAACGATTTTTCTCTTTAAGGGATAATGACATGCAAGTCTCAAGCGTTCCAGTATTTCAATCTAATGTAGGTATCACATCACCACATTATTCTTTTCATGGTGCCCAACTGGATGGTATGCCACCACCATACATGAACGATCAAATCGGAAATGTGAGACCTCCGTGGTATGAACCGTTCTCTGCTAGGTACATATTGTTTAATTTTTTTTACATGCATTATATAATTCTTGATTTGTGTGTGTGTGTGTGTGTGTGTGTGCGCGCGCGCGCGCGCGTGTGTGTGTGTGTGTATATTTAAATGCTATTAAATTTTTTTTAGTTTTCATTCAGCAAAGAATCATTGTCTTTTATTGGACATTGAACGTGCTGATCTGGAATTACAATGGATAATAAGTTCCGGTGGCTTTACCTCGCGTTTGGATAGAGTCTCATATATACGACACTTTCTTCAACAGAGCTTAAAGATCTTGCTCGAGACTGATATCAAATTCTGTCAAGCGGAGAATGTTGAGCAACACTTTTGGAAGATATTGTTTTATAATCTCATTGAGATGCTGCGAAAAGCAATGCCTAAAGAGAACTCGGAAGGACGAGAACGTTACAAGCAGATAATGTTAAATATCATTGATGAGGGTACCACTTATCTGGAAAGTTTATTGGCTACTCTCGAGACTACGTATCAGTTCAAATTAGATGCGTTTCTTGCATCATCAAGTCTACCTAAGGGTCTTGGACTCTTGGGTTTGGCCTTAGTTAGCGCTCAAAAGATATTTTTATTCTTGGGAGACTTGGCGAGGTACAAGGAGCAAGCAAATGAAACAAGCAATTATGGAAAATCTAGGCAGTAAGTGTTTATTGCACATAAAACACACACACGCGCGCGCGCGCACGCACACGCACACACATTCATACAACAGTAATAATTTTAAGAACTCAACATATTAGATTTAATTTTTTTCTCTATTTCTTTCTATACAGGTGGTACTTGAAAGCACAACAAATCAATCCTAAAAATGGCAGACCTTACAATCAACTTGCCTTACTGGCACATTATGCAGTATGTATTTAGAAATTACATTTATGGTGATATGAATGAATTTATGGTGATTATGAATATAATTTAATGTATAAATATATTTTTAAATATTTTTTCGTGTTTTCAGAGACGAAAGTTAGATGCCGTATATTATTACATGCGATCTCTTATGGCGTCCAATCCTTTTCATTCTGCCAGAGAAAGTTTGATTGGGCTCTTCGATGAAAATAGAAAAAAGGTAAAGGAACTTATGAATCGTATTGTTAAACCGTTTGTATTTATACTAACGTTAATAATATTTTGATTTTCTTTTGCCGCCAGTATCTACATTATGTAAGTAAATTTTGATACTTGGTGTGAACTCTCTAGACGTTCATTCATTATTTATTTGGTCAAGGCTTTTTTATCTGTTTATTATTTTATTGCTCGTTATATTGGATTTTCTATTTTACGCTTTTTAGAGCCTTGATTTTTCAATCCATTTGTGCACTTAGAATCTTTACATTTTAATAACTCTTGATAGCAAATGTGGCGAATTAATGCCTTTTGCAACTTAATTAATATCATGACATTAAATATTTTGCATATATCTGCTCCATATTAGCTAAATACACTTCTGCATAGCTATTTTTTGTAGTAATCGTTCATGCGAATGTTAGCTTTAATAAAAGATTAAAAACACTATTACAGAAAGGAAATATATTTAAAATAATAATATAAAAAGGTGAGCGGCACCACATATTTCTGGAGACATTCACACAAGAACACAATATCTGTTAATGATATGCCTGTAGCATTTTTGAGAGTGCTTGTTTGTAAGAAAGCCAACGTTAAATTTCCAGAAATGCTTCGCTGTAAATCCAAGTTGGAGACTTTTCTTATCTTTACTAGAGTTCTGTACATTTCGTTAGCATGCACTTATCATAGATGCGGGAATTTGTACAAATGAGGAATACAAACATTGTCCGATGGACACTCTTTGTATGCCTAGCTGACTATATAAAAGGAGTCCCGCTACCACCGTCTCATCTACACCAATAATAAAATTTTGAACGGAAATTAATAAAATTATTTAATTCATATTTATATATTTTTTATATATATAAATAGTATGATAATTAAATTTCGAATTAAATCCTCCTGACGAATCTGTAAATTAGGTAGATTTGGTTACGGGACACCATGCATAGCGTCATGCAGTACTCGTATCTTTTACACTTGTATATACATGGCGAAGATGTGCATATAACGGCAAATGTAACATACACCGATAATTATAACCGTCAGTTTATATCATGCATTGCATCCATTACACGATGCATTGTAAATGCATCAGGTATACATAGGTAGAGGTATTCTCTCAGTAAACGAAATATTCTTAGTACGAGTCTATCGAACGTAAACGGAAGGAAGAAAGGGAGTCGAAGGAACGAGCGAGGATGAAGGAAAAGGAAGGTGCGAACATTATCGGCGGTGGACTAAGGAGAGAGACATGGATTCATCCAGGTGACGGTAGGCGGGTACGACGTACAACGAGCGCGGCCAACGAAGCAAGATTGTCCCACGCAAGCGACTTGGAGGAGTTATCGCAATTAACGAGTGTCGAGGTATCCATTTCTGCTGCGACATCGTATTTCTCTAACAGTTTCGAAAGCTATAATTCTATAGTGTATATCTTTCGTACTTTAAATGCAACGCATCTATTAAGCAAATGTAGAATTATCTGAAAACTTTTGCTGTGTATGATTAAAAAATTTTGTTTATATAAAATCGATAAATAATGATAATTATATAATTAATATTTGCCTTGAACATTAACCTATTAAAAACTTATTGATATACATACTGGTGTGTTGATATATACTTCTGATAAAATTATTATTAATATATTTTTAATAAGTATGATATATAATTATTTTATTTATACATCTTGTTTTAGAGTTTTGTATTTTTTTTGTTAGGTGAACAAGCGGTTTGTTACTTCATACCTTCATGTTCACGGAAAGCTTATCACCAAGATAGGGTGAGTTTTATTATATTGATATTTTTGCACGTTTTCTGATGAAAGAAAAGAGCGTAAATCGTTGGTTGGCGATTGTACTCCTTCAATCATTTAAAGATCTGTTTATCGCTATCGAGCAAGTAGCTTATTGCTGTAGATTGGCCAACTGCCCGATATTTGCATCTCATGTGGTTCATACATACATTTAGCTTGTATCTCAATCGTTACATATCTCATTATGCGTTCATTACAAATTCTGCCAAGCAGAACAAATCGTTTCGTATTCCACTCGTGTCTGATAAAGATTGATAAAACTAATGTATACCTTTTGATTTTGTCCAATTTTGCATCACTGGAATAACATACATATATTTCTTAGTTGACATTCTTTCGTAGAGTCATTCATGCATTATAATATTTTATTATTATGGCTTTTTTAAATTTACAATTTGCAAAAGTTACATGTCAGATCTGCGCAAAGCAGATGAATAAGAAACTTCACTCGAGTGCTCGAGTGTGTTTTATCTTTGTTTTACATCTAATGAACGATAAAAATAAAATGATGCATTAGGGCACTCGGATGAAGTTTTCGAATGCAATCAATGTCATTTAAAATAAAGTAAAAATATTTAAAAAATGTATAAAATTAAATTAATAATTATTAAATGAACAAATGTGTTTGGTGTTCTAAGAAATTCTATTTGCCAAGATATGTGTCTTAGGATCAGTTGTATCAACGTTATTTTAATTTTAAGCGAGGTTTAAAATTAAAATAAAACTCTCTTTGTTCCTATCTTTTTTCGGTTTTTGAAACGAGATAGAGAGAGTTTAAAATTTCGCTTAAAATCAAAGTACATTGGTAACCAAATCTTAGCAATCTATTTATATGTATACACTTTTTAAATTTTATTTATAATTTCAGATAACTAACAAAACTTATCTTTGCTAATATAATTATCTATCAATTATCTTTATTAATATAATTATCTAATAAAATTCTAATCATTAGATAAGAAGTGAACATGCTTTGATTTGATGCATAAATCTTATAGCACTTTCATAATAAGTTCAGAATTGGTTATTAGTATTCTGACTTTATGAATTAGTAGCATATTCTCAGTAAAGTAAGGCAACTATATGAATAAATAAATTCCTACAATAAATAATCAGAACAATTTCGATATCACGATTGAGCCAGAAATGATGCATCGCTTAAAAGTTCTAGGCTGCACCTCGGCAAGTTTATAAATTATCGTCGATCTCGCACGAACGGGATATTATTCGCGCCGTTAGAGCGTTGTGGAATTTAATCTAAACTGACTAATCCAGAAATATTATGCTATGGATCGCGTCCGGTCGGTCGGTGTAGCTCGATTAGCAGGAGAAAAATAAATTGGGAAGGAATATTATGCACATTAATAATGGCATTAATAGAATGGCATTAATAGTCTCGTGAATTTACGAATGAAA